AAAAAAAACTAGCTGGGCAGTGGTGGCGCCCACCCACCCTTCACCCCAGCACTGGGGAAGCAGAGGTAGCCAGGGACTGGGTGCAGTCTGGGACCCGTGTTACCCTTCTCATCCTCTCTGAATATCTCTGAATATCCCTTAAATTCCCTTCGATATCAGATGTGTTGTTCTGGGAACACAGCCCCAGGGCCTGTGCTAGCCTGTGCTATATACTGCAATGTGTAATAGGGTCATTCCTCACTAATAGTCAAAATGTGGAAGGGTAAATAAAGCCATATATACATGCAATCAAATAGCATTTGGATTTAAGGAAAGAAATGTGGACTCATGTCCTGTGGCTTGAATGTATGTGGCCTTTGAAAATGCACAAATTGAAATCCTAACCCCTAATATGATAGCACTAGTCTGAGCCTTTGGGAAGGATTAGTCTTGAGAACAGAGGCCTGGTGAGTGGGACCAGTGAGCTTATGAAAGGCTGAAGAACACCCCTTACTTCTTCCCTCCTGTGGGCACACATCCACAAGGCACCGTCTAGGAACCAGAAGTGGGGCCCCACCAGACATCACGTCTATCGGTCTCATGGTCTTAGTCTGACACAGATAAACTGTGTCATTGTTTATCTGATGCCTAGCTTATAGTATTTTGTCCAAGAAGCCTGAAGTGATTACGACAACATATTACAACACAGATAACCCTTAACACAATTAGCCAGACATAAAAAAGACAGATACCACATGATTCCATTGAATTGACAGAAAGGGGAATGGTGGTCTCCGTGGTCTGGAGGACGTAGGGAATGAGAAGTTATTGTTTAATGGGTGCAGGGTTTTAATACTGTAAAGTAAGAAATGTTTATGGAGATGGGTGGTGGTGATGGCCGAACGGGGGCCCATTCTTAATACTCCTCAACTATATAATTTAAACTGACTAAAATGGTGATTTTCTGTTACATATGTCTCACAATGAAGAGGAGGAACAGTCAATTTCCGCCAGCATTAGTTCAGGCAAGAGGAGCTCCAGTCAGAGAGAAACCATGGGAAAAAAGGCTACTTGATTGTTTTCAACTGTGCTTGCCATAAAACACTTTCTAATTCAGTTCCAAGTGGCCTATTTAAATTCTAATAGGAGACATTTTACTTAGCCGAAAATCTGATGGCTGTAACTTCTCCCATCTTTGAGTAATTTGGAAGAAAACCCATTCCTTCCCCAGCTGACCCTGACCCACCATGATCTCATATACTCTCCAAGCATCTGCCATCGGCAACTGATTAGTCATGCCTCGGACTTAGTCATCATCTGTGTGCTGATGAGTCTCAAGCCTCTCCCTCCATCCTAGAAGTTGGTCCACGACTCCAGACCCAGGTATTCGCTGCCGGCTGAACATCTCAATGCAGCACACATCACAGGGACTTCAGCTTTACCGAAACGTAGCTAGCCGGGCTAGCTCAGGCCTGACACCCCAGCACTTGGGAGGTGGAGGCAGGAGGATCAGGAGTTCAAGGTCATCCTCAGTTCTATATCTAGTTCCAGGCCAGCCTAGAACTGTCTCATGATACCAACTTTACAAAAATCAGAATTAAGTGCAAATCTCTTCTACATACCTAGTTGGCTCTCCATGTCATGCCTCTCTCTGAGGGCCACCCTCTCATTATCCAGCCAATCAGCTCCAAGCCCCATCCTTCTAGCTGACCTCTTCCTCCTCCTCACCACTCACTTCCAGTCTGCTGTCTGCCTTGTCTCTGCTTCCAGTCACTCGGGCCCCTCCCCTCCCCTTACGTGACTCTGGTCACACTCCCTGCTTTTTCTCAGGCAGCCTGCCCCACGTAGCTGTCTCTGGTAGGCATTGGCTTAGAGTATTTTATCTTTTCCTGGATGATAAAAACCACACACTTGCCCATGTAAGAAGTGCTTAATGACTCTGTCCAGAGCTTGCTTCTGTTTAGGGGTGCCCTGCACTAGGGAGCCACTCAGAGATCACTTCATAGTTGCTCATTTAATCTCGATGGAATCAGTTATCAGTGTGAGTTTCTGAGTCTGGTCTCTGTCTCCCTTTTATAGCCTCTTCTTCCAGTATCTCCCATCCGTATCCCACTGGAGCCGTCCTTGTAACTTGTGGTTTCCTCAACAGAATAAGATGACATTCCTGCCTCCCGGTCTTTCCATGGCTACTTACTTCAATAACCCAGTATTATCACATGTAAACAACTAGCGAAGTACCTATTTCATGAGGCTTCAGATTGCCTCTCTGTAGAACAAAGCGGACAGCTGCAAGACTGTAATGTTGATAAAAACAAGATATGCAAAGGCAGTTTACAGTTATATCACGTCCTAAATGTATGCATATTGTATTGGTCAGAGCCCTATATTAAATGCCACTACCTCCGAGGAACCTTTCAAACACTCAAAACAGGACCCCTCTCTGTTCTTGGAAGCTTTGCCAAGCTCAGCCAGTCAGCCCCCGCGGCTGCTCTCGTACATTCTTAGGCTGGCCAAGTCCTCGTCCCACGTTTACAAACAGACCACGAATGCCACCAAGTCAGTATCCACCCTACGCCATGGTCTCCTTCCTAGACATTAAGGTCTTAATGTTTGGGACTATTCAAAGAGAACATATTCCTGAGATTTGAGGAATCAGAGGCAAAACTTCCATGGGGAAGTACCAAAGAGACACATTTGGGGTGTCTTTGGCATCCCAGCTCCATCACCCAGTGGACAGTCTAACTGGCAACACCCTGCTGAGCTGGAATGGTGGTAAGTACCTTGTCCCAGCCCGCGACAGACGTTGCTCCTGTCCTGCTGAGTTTGGATTACTCCAGGTAGCCAGGACTGGCTGACCAGACTTGAAGTTATTATATTGCAAAACAAAGGGCTGAAAAAGAAGGGGTCACTTTAGTTCCAACTCACTAAGGGGGAGATGGTCAAATCCAGGATGCTGGCCTATGTTAGGTCACTGGGAGGCAAATGTCCAGCCTCTGGGTGAGCAAATGGAATTGTCCCAAACTTAACATTCAGTGAGAGTGAAGGCGTCTTCCTCAGAAATGCCAGGAGCCCCTCGGATGTCTGACGGAGGAGGGTACCTGAGGCTCTTGGCCTCCCATTGAGTGTCCCATCCCTGTATCCTCAGTGCTCGGCACTTGTGTATTTAGTTAGGGCTTGTCTCCCTCTGAGAAGGAGCCATGGCCTGCCTCCTTTCCCTGACAAAGGGTTTACAGGTAATTAGAAGGGATTATGCTTGAAGGGGAAAAGCGGCCTTTAATCACCAGAAGGACACAGCAGTCTGAGCTGGAGGCGGTCCGGTGGCCTTTGTGTCCGAGGCTCACAGTGATCCCCTGGTCCCGGGGTGGTCAGCAGCATGGGCTTCCTCAGACAGATACAGCTTTTGCTTTGGAAGAACTGGACCCTGAGGAAGAGACAAAAGGTAACCACATGGGGTGGGTGGAGGTGGGGTGTGAGGAGGGAGAACGGAGGAGGGGCCCAAAGCTGGTTGCCCTTTAGCTCTGAGGCTGCCTTCAGCTGCTCTGTGAGCCTCTCTGAACAAGTGCCCTCCACAGGATGACATGCTTCTCTTGCCCTTGACGGTATGAAAAATATCCTGTCCTCCGCCCAGCAGAGGAATCCACTGCGACCCCCAACCCCCTCCCACTTTGACATCTGCTGGTCCAGCTCTCACTACACGGGGGAACCCTGAAAAACTAACCCAAAGAAAGGCAAGGAGGCTTTGACTGGCTTGGCATCTCAGTAAGAGCATTTCCTCACGCTGGAGAGTGGGATGTCTTCACACATGGGCACTGCAGGAATCGGGACGCGATTCCCTGCGTCGGTCGTCACACTGTCGCTGAGCACGTTGTTTCTGTCTTTATGGGGGAGAAAAATTACCTTGCACCTTCCAGCGGCTGTTAGAGGTTCCGTGAGTGCGACCCTGCCGCTAACCACGGATTCTCCCAAACCCCGTTAGTGGGCTAGACTAAGGATTTAAAGGCATACGGTGTGTGTTCCCTCTGAACTGGTTTCTATGATAGCTGGGGAAACCTGAAGGATATTTGGAGAACCCAGAGTAATGTAAAGTAATGCAGGCTGAATATCCCAGGAGAAATTCAGGGGAACGCTGCAGGGGATCAGAGCCCCCCCAGAGCTGCTGCAAACAGCTCTTCTGTAGTTTTCCCGTGAAGGGATAAGAAATAAATACGCATCCATGAAGAAATGGCACTGAGAACGTACTTCAGTTGGTAGAGTGCTTGCTGGGCATGCACCAAGCCCTGGATTTGCTCCCCAGGGCCACATAAGCTGGGCATGATGGTACATACCTGGCAAAAGGGTCAGAAATTCAAGGTCACTTATATAGTGAGTGAGTTCAAAGCCAATCTGGGATAAATGAGATCCTGTTTTAAGAGAGAGAGAAACAGACACAGAGAGACAGACAGACAGAGAGGAGAAGAAGGAAGAGGAAGAAGAAAAGAAGGTAGGAAAGGATGGCTGTCCCAGTGCCTTGCGGAGTTCTAGAAACATGGAATGACTTCAGGAGCCTGGGTGGGGTGGGGTTCCTGTGAGAGGTAGGGAGGGCTGAGATTAAATGATCCGGCCAAGAACGGAGGACAACACCCCTTGCTGACCTCTGGCCTCCACACACACCTGCACCCTGACACACACATGGGCGCACACATACAAACATGCACTTAACACTTACACTAAAAGGAAAGAAAGCTGGACCTCATGCAGAGGACATGGTCAAGAAGAGGATGGTTTGGGGTGGGTTTCTGTGGGCCGGGCAGGGCTTTCCTGGGTGTCAGGAGGAACCTTAGGGAAGAAATGGGACCAGGTGGTGGGGCGTGTGAAGACCTGTGTGCGTGCCTCAGGCAGACTTGGTCAGAGAGAGATGAGCATGGACATGTGTCAGCTAGTCACAAAGCTAGCAGCTGAGAGAGGAGAGGAAAACCCGAAGGGGACGTGGAGGCAGGAGGGGAAGGAGGCGGAATTGCTAAGATGTAACTGAGACCAGAGATCTGTGGAGCTGAAATCAGGGTCTCTGAGGCTTCACAGGCCCAGACCCATGAGGAAGGAACCCCGGCTGGTGACCTTAGGGTTGAGGTACGATAACTTTTTAACTCACATATGAAGAAGCCAGGGACCTCACACAGATGCTTCAAAGGCCTAGGTGTGGCGGGAGGGAGAAGCCAAGCTCACCCTGGGGACACCATTGTCCTACCTACACTGCTTTTCCTTATCCAGGCTGGTGTCATTTCAAATTAGCCTGGAGGTTATTTGGGGCCCCCAGGGACCAAGTGCTGACAGTAACCAAAGGCTCAGTCCCTTCCAGAAATTTCCCTTCCTGAATGAAAATGCCGTCAAAACCTGAGCAACACTCATTGTTAACTTCATCGGGTTCACTCATTCATTCAGTCAAGAAATAATAGTCACCGGGCAGTGTGCCAGGTGCTAAGTTCCCAATGATAAATGAGACAATTCAGTCTCTGCTCTCAGGGTGCAAATACTCTATGGATTGCCAAGGAAATCCAATATGCCCCCGCTGCGCCGCCCCCCGCTGCCCCTCCCCCACTCCCTCTCCACCCCTCCCCTAGCACCATGACTGCTGGCCAGCGAGGCTCCCATTGATGTGGCCAACTCGGTTTTCCAGAGACAGGATTGGCTCAGGAAGGTTTACCCTCTCCATCCCTTCCCCTCGCATTGGCAAACGTGTCCCTGCTGGGGGATGGGGACTTTCTCCCTCACTGTGTGTTCCCCAGGGGATGGAGCCGTCCATGCTGTGAGCCTTGTCTCACTTAAGCCTGGGCCACGCCTGCGCATTGATATCGCCTTCATTGATATCGCCTTCATGGCCTGGAAACGGCTTGTCCCTGTGCCTCTGGATAGCCAATGTATCCAGGATGTCTGGGCAAGATGAGAGCCTTTTCCTAATCCCCCAGGAGCTCTTTGAAAGGGTCTGTGGCTCCTTTCAAGGCATTTGGATCTTCCGGAAAGAGCCACCTCTAGAAAATGATAACTCTGCATGAAGTGCAGCATGGCAGCCCATAATGCAGCCATTCCTCAGACTTTTATAAGCTAGGTGTTTACCAGTGTGAGCAGATCGCAAGTGAGAACAGACAGATACCAGGGTTCCCCTTCCCTCCTCTTTCACCCCCTCAAGATGCAGGTGGGGGTCTTCAGGTGTCTGCTCCTCTCCCTTCATTTCCCATCCTCTGTTAGTGCCTGTTTGATGTTGCGAAGTACCTGGTGCTGTACTAAATGCATTTCACCGTTTACCCCTCACAGCAGTGCAAGGACAGAGAGAGGCGTCAGTTACTCCTGTGGCTACCAATGAGGTCACCGGAGCTTCAGGAGGGTCAGGATGAGCTGGATCTAGACCTGGGATTAAACTGTGTGTGACTTCGAGATAGCAGCCATGACCATTAACCTACACTGCCCTGACTAGCAGACAAGGCTCAGGTGTCACCAGCAGAGAGTGACTGGGTATTTCTCCCCTGCCAGGACAGTAGACGTAGACTCAGATTGGATGTGTAGCCCGAGTGTATGTTTGACCTGGACGAAGGAGAACCGAGCACAGCCCTCGGCCTGATGGAATTTGGAGTCAAGCAGGCAGGCGGAGGCTGTCACACGCTTCCTAAGCAGAATGGAGACTCCAGTGGTGGAGCAGAAAGAAGCCTGGGGCTGGGGGAGGGGCCCGGGAGCTCAGAGGACATTTCTTGGGAGTTTAACCCTCACACGCCTGCCTCCGGAAGACACTGCCCAAGATCGTATCTGCCCTTGTGGGTTGAGAGGGTTGTAAAGCACACTAACGCTGCTTTTTCTTGCCTCCGAGCTGCATATCCTAGAATGCCTTGGTGTCGCCAGGTCCCCACTTCCGGGGGAGGACAGGATGTTTGGTGAAGGCCTGAGGACTCATAAAAATAGGAGTTCACTTCCTAAACTCTAGAGGTTCGTGTCTGGTGTCACCGTGGCCCCTGAGTGCTGGGCCCAGCACTAGGGGAAGAGAGCATGGGGTGCCAGGAGGCTGGGCACCAGCTCCAAGTGCGCCAGACTGTGGGTGGCGTTGGGCCAGGTTTGAGTCCCGTCTGGACTCTCAGCCCAGAAGGGAGGATCAGCGCTGTTGCTCTCAAGCTCTGGCTCCCTCCCTTTTAAATTGAAAACAGAGAGGGAAGGGAGAAAACCTAACTGGCTGTTTTAAAACAACAAGCAGGACTCTGCCCTCCCCAGGAACCCTTCCTCCCCCACATAGACTGAATGGTAAAGGGGGGGGAGGGGAGCGGGAATAAGGAAATACCAGTATAGTTTAAAAAAAAAAAAATTCCATGGGGGGTGGTGCTTCTGAGCTTAGGCTGGGCTTAATTAAAGTTACAGACATGCTTAACGTGTGTGGGACGGGGGGCACACGACTCTGGAGACATGTTTTTATTACAATGTGGAATTTCTCCCTAGGGCATGCCTGTGTACACTTGAGCTGCGAGGGCCACAATGCCCTTCTGGGCTGGTGGTACTGATTCTGGGGGAGGGGAAGAAGCTGCTGGGAGGGCCCACCTGCCTCTGTGAGGTGGAGAGAGAGAGAGAACGACAGGTGGTCTCTGTGCAGAGAGTGGCCTGTAAGGGCGGCGGATCCAGACTGCATGCAGAGGAAAAGGACCAGCTTCCCCAATGCTTCTTAAAGACGGCCAGCTATGCTGGGATGGGGGTTCTCAGCCTTGTCTGGCTACTGGAATTACCTAAAAAAGTTGGAGGGGATTCTGATGTCCCTCTGGACGTGGCTTGAGATGCCCATGAGTCCAGCTTGCAGCTGGGTAAGGGCTCCTGAGGGAGGCTGCTCGTTGGAGGGGCCTGGGTCATGTGGAGAGAACAGCAGCCCAAATGCAGAGACATGACGAAGAGCGCAGGCGCAAGGCGTGAGGAGGGTTCCCCTGGTAGCGGACTTCACAGACCAGCCATGCCCAAACACAGAATGGGGAAAGATCTCAAGGGAAAAGGGAGAGAGAGGGTAACAGCAAGCCAAAAGGGGGCTGTTTGGAGAGAGGAAGGGAACCATCGGGGCAGAGGCAGCCTGCAGGGTAGTCTGGAACGGTAGAAGGAAGGATAATGACGTGTATGAGAATGACGTAATCCCATTACTGTGTACACTAACTTAAAAAATTAACACAAATACAGTTGGGAGCCGGCTCAGCAGCTGAAGGCCTGCCATGCACGTGTAGGGATCAGAGTTCTGGGCCCTGGAACCCACCTGAAACCCGAGGGGACTGTCTTCTCAGCTCCAGGGAGGTGGAGACGTGAGATCCTGGGAGCAAGCTGGCCTGGTCAGACTCCCTGAAACAAGGGACTCTGGGTTCAGAAAGTGAAAACCTTGGCCTCAGTTAACAAAGTGAAGAACACTAGGAAGACACCCAATGTCAGCCTGGGGCTTACACACACACACACACACACTCATACAGAAATATGCTAACACACACCTGTACACCTAGGAACATACAAACACAAACACACCACGCTCACATGCAAAAAATAAAAATAAGCGAAGAAAAGGTCTAAGTACCATGACACTGCAGAGTAGTTACAAAAAGAAAACATTTTCACAACAAAAACAAATCAAAACCCAAAACTTGTGAGTAGCATTTCCTAGACAGATGAGATGTACTAGTGTGAGTTTAGAACCCTCTTACTCGGGGTAGAAAGGCAAAAAAGGCCCCTCCCCCATGACCATGAACTTACACATCCAAGCTTTTCTTAAGTACGGGAGGAGAAGAAAGTGTGTGGTCAGTTTCTCAGGGGACCCCATGCTTCCAACCTGAACCTATAAAGCAGTATTCTCGGCCTGCCTAATGCTTCAACTCTTTAATACAGTTCCTCATATTGTGGCGACCTCCAACCATAAAATTATTTCATTGCTACTTCAGAACTGTAATTTTGCTACACATGAATCATAATGTAAATCTCTGATGTGCAGGAGATCTGATATGTGACCCCCAAGGGGGTCACAACCCACAGGTTGAGAACCACTGCCATAAAGGGAGGAGACATGAATGTGTGTGGGAGGGGCTGTGAGGCTGCTGTTGGTTTTCATTGTATTTATTTAATCATCTGTCTATAACCTGGTATCCCCCATGTGCCCCCGTGGCCTTTATGATGACTTTAAGACACAATAGTAAGTGGTCCATGGGTCAGTCTCAGCTTTCTGTCATTATCACAGTGGCTCTGGGAAACAGGACTTGGTACCATTCCTTTTTTACAGGTGAGCCCCTGTGCCACAGAGAGGTTAGGAGGGTTTCCCAGTGTCGTGAACCCCAGTACTTGGCCCCAGAATAGTCTCTTCTTAATTCTCATTATACTATAGGACAGAACAGCATCCCCATTTCAGAGATGAGAAAACTGAGACTCAGAAATTAAGCAAACCCAAATCTTCACATTCTCACATTGCCATTTCCAGAGTGGCAGTTAGCATCCCAGAAAACTGACACACCACAAGAAGGCTGTAATCTCCTTGGTAGAGAGCCAACAGTACGAGCAGTTGTCTCAGGAGTCAAGTGTCTGGTTTCCTTGGTGAAGACACCGAGAGCGACTTCCAGTCTCATCCCTTGCACCTGTCACAATGCCATCTTGTCAAACCCGTTCCCCCACCATCCTTACAGGACGATCTGGAAGAGAGATGAGAGCTGGTATACATGCCTTTGTGGGGTGCAGTGTATTAAGTCTTTTGACTGTTGATGGGTTGATGGCCTGAATCCCTGTGTCAACTCCAGCTTTCCAGAGAAGCACCCAAGGCCCTGGACTAAAACTTCTCATTCCATAAAAATGTGATGGGGACGTCTAGAATCCTGCCTTGTATGGGGTGCTGGAGTCACAGTGGAGGCAGATGGGCCCCTGAGTGTTGGTCTAGGGACCAAGAGAGATAGGAAGAGCGATGGGGGTTGGCAGGGGATTGGACCAGGGAGGCTCTGGATGTTGCATGCCCTGTGGGCAATTACCAGCCATTCTATCTGCTAGCAAGTGTTCCTGGGAGCAGTCTCCTTGTGGGAACTGCCCAATATTGGTGTTTTGTCACTTTGTAGGAAAAGAGGTAGATAGGAAAGCCGTGAAAACCCGAGCACATTAAGGGAACCCTACTGTTCTGTCTTCTTGCTGTATTAGTATGTGTTTCCTCTAATATTTTCTCCCTGCTTATGTGTGGAGTACAGCCTTTTTAAAGAGTTACCATGTACCTGTAGACATTTTTGCTTTCTTTTAACATGTGATCTTTTGTTTTGTTTTGTTTTTGTTTGTTTGTTTTTTTTCAAGACAGGGTTTCTCTGTGTAATAGTCCTGGCTGTCATGGAACTCAATTTGTAGGCCAGGCTGGCCTCAAACTCTCGGAGATCTGCCTGCCTCTGCCTCCCACTATGTACAGTTAAAGGAGTGCGTCACCACCACCCAGCTTCACATGACCTGTTTCTACCACCAGCTTTCAGACATGTCAGAACTGGGTTGCCACCAAACTTCTGGGGTTTTTTGTTTGTTTTGTTTTTATTTTAAGCAGAAAAAAAAATGTGGTTTTTCCTTACCAGCGAGCAAGGAACAAATATTTTTCGAGCATCAGCCTGCTAGGATGTCTCCTTCATGTCTAATTCCCTAATTCACATTCCCCACTCCCTCTTCTCCTCCATAAGTCCACATCTCAGCCCTCCCACTGTGTACAGTGTTGGGATGAGTGCCGCCCATCAGGTGCCCCCTCTTTTGGAGTCAGGAGAACTCTAACTCTAAAGCAAGCCTCTGTCTGTATACCAGCTCTCTGGGATAGGTTGAGATCGGCTGCCTCTTCTGGTTGGGGGAAAGGAGGAGGAGCCATGGTAATATGTCTGCCTCCCTCAAACCACAGATCTTGTTGAAGGAAAACATGCTGACTAACTGGATTTCTGTTGACTCTGCTTTGGGGCACAGTATTTCAGAGTCATTTACTCCTTAGTTCATTCATTAATTCAATGACCACCTTTAGGCAAGGTCTACCATGCACCAGAAGGCGGCAAAGCCATGGGACGGTGTGGGAAGAGCGATGGCCCGGCAGGCAGGAGGCTGGATTTTGCTTCCTGTTGTGACACTGTACAAGTCACCTGTCCTCTGTAGGTCTCTTTGCTTATTCACAGAATGAGAAATTATGAGATCTTTACAGTCTGAGGCACCAGCATTACCCAGGAGCTTACTAGAATCTTCATCCATAGCCAGTTGGTGGTGGTACATGCCTTTAATCCAAGCATTTAAGAGGCAGATACAGGCAGATCTCTGAGTTTGAGGCCAGCCTGGTCTACAGAATGAGTTCCAGGACAGCTGGGGGTTCACAGAGAAACCCTGCCTCAAAAACCCAAAAGGAAAAAAAAAAAAAAATCTGCATCCGTGTACACAGTCACATCTTCAAGCCCTGAGATCCTTCGTCTCAGCCTCGTGTGGAGGCAATTTCAGAAACAGATGCAGATAGAACGCAGAGGGACACAGAATCTGGCTGACGCAATGAATCAGGCAGGAGGTGGTGGAGGAGTAAGGTCGAAAGAAGGAAGTTCTTCAGGTAAATAGTCAGGCTCCTCTTAACAATGGGACTGATTCTGGGAAGTGCCTTATTAGGTCATTTCATCACCTTTTGCACCTTGTAAAGCCTACCGACAAAGACCTACCCAGCAGAGCCCACTACACACCCATGCCACATAGCTCTACGGTATTTATGCATATTATTTATGCATAGTGTAGTCTATTGCTCCTAGAGCCATAATAAACACAAGATTACATCAAGATGAAGATAAATGATGCAGCAGGAGACAGTAAACACAGGATGCACGGGGCTGCTGCTGGTGTTACAACAGTCAACTTCTTACAATGCATTGTTGTTTCTGAGACAGGGTAGTCTCAAAGTTGCCATGTCATCAGGGCTGGCCTTGAACTCACTCTCCAGCCTCCCAAGTGCTGCCACTATAGAGACACGTGCCATCACACTTCGCTTCAAACTTACGGGTTTTTTGTTAGTTTGTTTTTTATGAATAGACTTTTCTCTCAATTAATGATTTAAACACAGTAAATATACAAACCCTTAGCAGTCACATTGTCATTATCGAGTAGCATTGCTATATATAATTGTACGTGCTGTAGTTTTAGGTGATGAGACATCAGCACAGACCCTGCAATGTTAAGACAGTAACAGGGATGTTTTGGCTCCGTCATGACTTGTGGGACCGCTGTGGGGTATGTGATCCACTGTTGCCCAAAGTGTTAGATGGGGTGTGATCGAACCACAGCCCAGTCCTGGTGCTCTGAAGTGTACAGAGGAAGGCCTCTCTCCTCTGGCTGGATCTCCCCAAATCTCTCAGCACCCTTGATCTTTCTTTTTATTCTCTTTTTCCAGATTCGCTTCGTGGTGGAACTCGTGTGGCCTTTGTCTTTGTTTTTGGTGTTAATCTGGCTGAGGAATGCCAACCCACTCTACAGTCAACATCAATGTGAGTATGGCCGCAGAAGACCTGGGCTGTCCTTCCCTTTAGGAAGCTCTTGGCTTGGAATGGGGGTATCACCTCTGTTAACATTTCAGAGGCTTTGATGTTCATCAAAGCTGCACCAATTCTAGTGTCTTAAAATGTGTGCAATCTTGGTTGTAGTGGTGTGTTGAAAGAATGAATTGTTTGCTTATTAATTTCTTTCATTCTGCAGTTCTGGGAATCAAACATATCCCTGAATATGTATTTCTTATGTATGTTTTTATTGTTTTGTATGTATTTTATATGCTTTATTGGTTTTTCAAGACAGGGTTTCTCTATGTAGCCCTGGCTATCCTAGAATTCACTCTGGAGACCAGGCTGGCCTCAAACTCACAGAGATCCACCTGCCTCTGCCTCCCAAGTGCTGGGATTAAAGGTGTGCACCACCGCCACCCAACTTATTTTTTTTATCATGACTGATTTAGGGGATTTGTTTTACGTGGTGCCAGGCGGGAAAATGAGAAGGGATAGTACAGATCACACTTCGATAAATATTGTTCCCTGGGGCTTCAAGGCGTCTCCAGGTCCCGTGAGAGCCTGCTTTGTGTGTAGAGCAGCCTTCTTGGAAGGTCCCCTGTGGTGGTTTCTGGCCAGGATGATGACTTCTCCTTCTAGGCAGGTGACACAGAGTCCCCAAGAGTTATGAAAGCTGCTACATTCCTCCCCGCTCTGGGGTTTCTAACCTCCACTGCTCTGCCCACCTCCTGCCCAGCAAACCCTTGCTTCTTTCTGTCACTCCCAGGGGTACACAGCCTCCACGCCCGCCATGGAAAGAACTCAGCAGGCCTGTCCCCTCTCATCACCGACAGCCTCTGACCCTCCCTGAGCCAACTCAGCGCCTCCTTGCCCCTCCTCCAGAAACGTATTTTCCAGCCTCAGTTCCCCTCCACACGTCCATCTAAGCCCCTCGGACAGGGGTTCCCAACCTTCCTGACGCCACGACCCTCATGTTGTGAGGAACTACAGGCTGAGGGCTGCTGCTCTAGAACATTCATCTGTCTCCTCATCTGCCACGGAACTCCAGGACACAGCACAAGCCAGACCCTATATTAGACGCTCCTGCTTCATAAACAAGCAGAGAAGCCGAGTACCAGATGCTTTCCTACTTGACCTCTGTGACTGATTCCTTCTCGTCTTCACTTTCTGTCTTTAGGCCATTTTCCCAACAAGGCGATGCCTTCGGCAGGAACGTTACCATGGCTCCAGGGGATTTTCTGCAATCTGAACAACCCTTGTTTTCAAAACCCCACCCCGGGAGAATCTCCTGGAATTGTGTCAAACTATAACAACTCCATGTAAGTGCTGAGATTCCCCACCTAGAGGGAAGGAACTTGCCCCCCTCCCATTCTCCCCCCCCCACCATGCTGCAGTCTGTACCCCCACCTGCAGAGGAGGGGCTCTGAAGGGTTGGAGGAGGGGCAACTTCCTACCTAATAGCCTCTTAATGGCAGGGCACCTGGGGAAAAACCTTCCAGCTTAAACCACCTGGACACAATTGCTTCATCTTTGTGCCCAAGACGTGACCTAGAATCTAATAGCAGCCCAGGCTGTCATGTGTCCCCTCCTCCGGTCACCCATCCTCTGGAAGGCGGAAGTACTGTGTAAGAAAAACTGACTTCCTTCACACTCCGCCACAGGCTGCTCATAGCCATCTCTGCCTCCTCCAAGGGCTTCTTTAGATGAGGTCTGGGAGCAGCGCAGGGACACAGGAAGTCAAATTTACAATGTGAAGTTTACTTCTTAGAAGAAAGTAATGAACTCCAAATCCTCCACTGAAACTGTCGTTAGTGACCTCTGAGAGGAAGAATCTTGGGATGTGGCTCCCACAGAGTGGTTTTTAACCCACAACACTGAACATCCAGTTGCCCGTCTTCATTCTCCCTGACCAGTCAGCCATGATGGGTATGCACAGGGTGGACTTTGTGGATGAAGTGTGGCACCGGGTCCCACCCAGAGAACAGGGTGAAGGCAGGGAAGACTCACTGGTAATATCTTCCAACGTCCTCAGAACAATAGATTCAGAGAACGCGGGGTTCGAGGCCGTCTGGCTCTCCTGTAACTCAAATATTGAGCAAATCACTCATCATCTGTCAGTGTTAAAATTATAAATATCCATCAAATTGAGGCCATGCTAAGTCAAGCATGCAATTTAAAGATAGCACAAGGCTGTTAACCGTATTGTTATGAAAATGATAGCTATTTATTTATTTATAAGGCATTCTCCTTTCTACAGCTTGGCAAGAGTGTATCGAGATTTTCAAGAGCTCTTCATGGACACACCAGAGATCCAGCACCTTGGCCAGATTTGGACTGAGCTTCGAACCTTGTTCCGGCTCATGGACACTTTGCGGACTCACCCTGAGAGATTTGCAGGTAACTTGAGTGTTAGTGTCCCCATTCTGTCCTTGCCTCTAGAGTCAGCCTAACGCACCAGAGACTGTAAAAAGTGGGGCAACACCACTCCCCAACCTCCCCCCCCTCTCCGCACCTCCTGTAACAAGATGCCAGAGGCACCAGAGGCACATGCCGGTAATCCCAGCACTCCTGTGGTGATATGCAAGACAGAGACAGGAGAATCCCCAGAAGCTTGTAGGCCAGCTAGTCTGTCTCACACAGCAGTGAACACAAAGAGGTTGTCTGTCCTTTGACCTCTGCATGCATGCTGTGGTATGTGTGTACCTGCATTCACACACACACACACACACACACACACACACACACACGCTCACATGTATACATACACCAAGACTTCTAATGTACATTTTCCAGTAATATTTAGCATCCAGAATGATGCATGTGGGTCAGTTGAGAACAGGATGTAATGTAGAGAAGAGACTGTAAGGAGTCATCACAGAAGATCAGGGAGGCTCTGGAACTAAAGGCAGAGATTGTACCATATACATTGAGCTTGCGCTGCATAGAGCTTGGGCTGCATCGAGCTTGCATGAGAAGCCAGGAACACTAAATTAACTGGGGGAAATTGAAAGGTGTGGAACAGCAGTCTTGGTGGCTTCTATGATGTTGGATGGGAAAAAAGAGTGAGATGGAAGGACGGATGGCTGTAGTTGGAATGTTTGCATTTAGGATATCAAAGAAAGTCAGGCATTAGGGGAGCCACAGGGGTAGACATAGTGGACAGAGAGAAGGGGCCAGTGTCCATTGAGGGAGAGGTAAAGCAAATGAGGAATTGGGCTGTGAGCTGCCACAGACACAGAGTCCGTAGAAAGATAGCAAGAACCAGATGGTCCAAGGCTGGAGAGATGGCTTAGTGGTTAAGAGCATTATTGGCTGTTCTTCTAGAGGACCTGGGTTCAATTCCCAGTGACCACATGGCAGCTCACAACTGTCTGTAACTCCAGTTCCAGGAGATCTGATGCCCTCACATGGACACACATGCAGGCAAAATACCAAATGCACATGAAATAAAATAGAACCAGACACCCAGGAAGGAGAGCCACTTAGAATGAGGAACAGCAAAGAGGAGAGGTGGAAATGTCTCCCAGCCTCAGGGGAGAAACAAGAGGCAAACAAAGCAACCACAGCACCAGATCTTCAAAGTCTTACCTGAGCACTGCAGGGCTGACTCATCTTCAGTAGGCTCCGCCTTGGACACCAGGGGAGACAAGGTGTGAACATTGAAACCCATTGCCTGAGCATCTGTAATACAGAGGCTGTGAGGCAGTAAAGCCCCAGGAATCTAAGGGTTGCTGCAGGCCTGTGGGTAGAGGATCTTTTAAAATATGTTTGCTAGTGGGTGAAGATACTTCCAGGAATGGAGGGCAGAGGCAGCAGGTAGTGCTGAGAAGACTAAGGTGGGTGACTGTAAAGATCACCCTAAGAAGATGACGGCATAAGGAAAGGACTTCCAAGGGAAGCCAAGGGGGCAAGAAGGGCCAAATAGGCAGCTTTTATCCAAGTGACAAACAGTAAAGGTAAGAGGGTGATGTCACCAGCCAGCCCTCCTATACTCAGCATACATTTGGCACCTACTGTGAGGCATATGCTGGCCTGGTCTCTGGAGAATAGAGAGATGGATGGGTTGAGTGCCTACCCACAGGGCACCTAGAGAACAAAAATGGGGTAGACAATGACATCCCTCACCATATGGAGAAGCAGAGGGCTTTGAGAACATGGGGAGTCAGAAAGGGGAAAGACTGGAAACAGAATCTGGCACCATCCTGTAAATGGAAGTTTCTGTCCTACCAGCAACTCCCCAAACCCAGAAGTTGCTTCCCAAATAATTTACTTGGAGGCTTAATATTACTTATAAATGCTCAGCTGGTAGCTCAGGCTTATTACTAACTCTTACATTTAAATTAACCTATAATTCTTATCTATGTTTAGCAATGTGGCTTGGTACCTTTTCTCAGTACAACATTCTCATCTTGCTTCATCTGCATCTGGCTGGTGACTCCTGACTCTGCCCTTCCTCTTCCCAAAATACTCAGTTTGGTCACCCTCCCTATACTTCCTGCCTGGCTACTGGCCAGTCAGTGTTTTATTAAACCAATCAGAATGACAAATCTTTACAGTGTACAAGAGGATTATCACATAGCATTTCCCCCTTTTGTTTAATTAAAAAGAAAGGTTTTAACTTTAGCATAGTAAGATTATTTACAACAAAAACAGTTATTAAGTAAGAATTACAGTAGCACTAATCCATTTGCATTTGGCAAAATTAAAGAAAATACTTAATTATCTATCTTATCTTGGTGAGTCTAAAGTTTTGTATCTAATTCACTTTCTAGTATAACTAAGGAAAACTATAATTATAACTATTTAGTCTTCAACTCCATCAAAGACCCCAAAGGGTGAAATGTTACCTAATGACAGGGACCTCAAGCTGCCTGGACAGTCACCCAAAGGTCCTCTGTAACATTGGGGGCATCCAACTCTGGCTCACAGGCCTAGAATATCTGACAGACTTTTTCGTGAAACAGGGAATTTTGAAAGATTGTCCTACCTTGTCTTGGCAAAGTTAGGCAGTCACCTTTCTTGTGTCCTGCTGACTCAGTTTGGACAGTAATTGTCAGCAATTGAGGCAAGGGCCATTTCTTTGCCCGCATAGCTAGCTTTTGCCATAAAGAAAACAAACTGCTTATGGTGTTTCTTCAATGAAGTAGATTGGTGCTGTCAGGAGCAGACATATCTCATTGTCATGAAAAGCCTAAGTTCTTAAAACATTTTTTAGTTGTTGTTGTTTTGTTTTTTGATACAGGGTTTCTCTGTGTAGCTTTGGAGCCTTTCCTGGAACTCACTCTGTAGCCCAGGCTGGCCTGGAACTCAAAGAGATCTACCTGCCTCTGCCTCCTGAGTAAATGCCATATTCTATAGGTCTTTGAAGTGTTTGAAGCTTGCCTTTCTACCTGAAAAATATCTCTGTATGACCTTGGAAACATAACATAACTCCAAGTTTGCTATTATAGATGACTATTCATCTGTATTTCTTAATTATATATTACATTTTTAAATAAGCTGTATAAACATAATACCCTAAACAAGAGTAATATACGTAAAGTATAACAAAATTAACTTTAAATTTATACCAATAAAGCAAAATCCATACCAATGTAAAATATATAAGATTAATAGTTGTTCTTTTGATTAAGGTAGATTCAATAATCCACCCTTTTGTCTTACCACTTCTATGTCCCCTCTTCTTCTCTTCAAAACAAGATCCCTGAATCTAATCTCCTTTGTTTAGCTTTTTCCCTGATCATTATCCATAACAGCTTATAACCAAACCCCCCTAAACAATGACAACTGTCCATAATTCATTTTTGGGAATGTGGGCTTAGTTCTATAGACTACTTCCTGCTGATTGGGGACACTGGTAATCTTTAGGGGACCCTGAGAAAAATTCAGAATAATGGTTAAGTCTTGGCTGGAGAGTTCTGTGAGACTGGATCATCTCAGCCAGCAGCCTTGAAGACTTTCTGGATGCAAAACTCAAAGGAAACTGTAATAGAAGCACTATGAAACATTGGATCATCTGGGCCATCTGTTTCCCATTGGAGATTTTTCAGGGGGTATTCCTGAGAAAACCTGATTTTTCTAAACCCAGAATGAATTCAGAGCCTCTCATTTCCTGTGGAAATAAAAGCATAACTCTTCTCCAAAGTAACATATCTTTTGACTTAAATTTTGAAGTCAAGGTATTCTCTAAATATATAGGTTGGATTAAACTAGCAACATTTATAATCAAATGTTTCTTAGCAGCTGTTGCTCCTTAGCTGCCAAACAATTCAAAGACAACACAATAACATATTGTATCCAGACTCTGTGTATTTTCCATCTTTACATGACTTTTTTTAATCCTACTCCCTTTTTAAGGACTTTATTATTTTAAAACTATATTTTTATATAAAAATATTTCTTCTTTATGACTGTCTATACCGTCTCTTTACTCTCCCAAGTAAACATACTGTAAACTCTTTAGAGGTTTTTCTTTTTTTTCTTTTTTATCTGAATCTGTCTTTACTGCATATCTCTGTCTTTTTCTGACCACGTAAGTCTTTAATCTGCTAATCAGGCTTGGCTAGGACCAAAGCTGCAGCTTTGGTGACTGGTTCTACCCCATGCCTTGGTTCTGAGTGCTTAGCTCCATGGTGGAGGTAATGGCGGGAGCCACATTTAACACACCAACTCTGGGGAGTTTTGGGGTCCATACTGCCACAGAGTAGTGCATCACCTGCTGCTCTTTAAGTGTTTGGTAGCAGGGCCTCTTAAAAGAGTCATAGGTTGTGGTTTTTGACAGAATGCTGAGTCAGGAAGCCATCTCTTAAAGGAGCCATGTCTCTGCTCGCTGCCAGTAAACAGAGCCTATTGGAGGAAAGATGGTTACCAAGAAGCCAAGTTTGATCCCATTTTTATGTGTTTAGAATCCTTTTTTAAGCTTTTTCAAGCTTCATGTGTAGAAATTCTTACTGAATGTTTGGGTGCCATATGTAAATGGAAGTTTCTGTCCCACCAGCAACTCCCAAATACCCAGCAGCCACTTCCCAAATAATTGACTTGGAGACTTAATATTACTTATAAATGCTTGACCAGTAGCTCAGGCTTATTACTAACTCTTACACTTAACCCATAATTCTTATCTATGTTTAGACACGTGGAACATCCTAATCTTGCTTTGGTCACCCCGCCTATGCTTTCTGCCTGGCTACTGGCCAATCAGTGTTTTATTAAATCAATTTGAGTGACAAATCTTTACAGTGTACAGGAAGATTATCCCACAGTACCCCCCGCCCCCATCTAGCCACTTTCTGCCTTTGCTCCCTGGAGGAGTAAAAGCACACAAGTACATACAGATCCCTGGGTTAGGATTGCTTAGTTACATTCAAACTGCTTCCAAAACAGTAGAGCAGTCATCA